TCAGACCTCTGTTGTGTTAGACGTTGTCTCTTGGAGGCCAAATTATTGCCAAAAAAGATGTAGGTATCTCCGAGGAGACAAGAGGCCGAAACGTCTCTGAGGAGAATAAAATTCGGCTTAAAATAAGCGAAATGAAGCAAATACATTTTGGCAACTTACAAGGATGTATTGTCATGCGCAGTGTCATAGATTCTGCAAGTTGGCAAGCTTATTTGCTTTATAAAGCTAAAAATCCCCAACCGATTTTTGAGGCCCTTCATCCAGCTTATCCTTCGGGAAAAGTTGCGATGTAGGGTCAAAAAATACGCGACGTCGATTTGTTGGTAGCGTACATACCCGAAGACTTTGGAATTTTATAACGACCTTACAAATTGGCCAGTCACTGAGGCAAGTAATGACTCCTCCAGGGAGGGGAGTGATGGCGCAGCGTCGAGTTAGGAGTCTTAGAAGATGCTTAAAGAGGTTCTTTTCATTGTTTATTTTCATTGTTTGTCACTCTAAAGATACATTTTGGTTAATTTTTCAATAAATTCCGTACCTAAAAAAATGCGTTTTCGATTATTTAGAATACCGAACACACACGAATCCTGCGAAAGCAGCTAATGTCCAGTTTATTTCTAGTAGTTTCGTGATGAAACTGGTTTAAAGTGCCGCAATTTTGAAGAATTTTGTTTTTTAAACTTTAGTTGAATGATAATCTACCGCTTTATAAAGCTAGATATCCCCAACCGATTTTTGAGGCCCTTTATCCAGCTTATCTTTCGGGAAAAGTTGCGATGTAGGGTCAAAAAATACGCGACGTCGATTTGTTAGTAGCGTACATACACGAAGACTTTTAGGAATTTTATAACGACCTTACAAATTGGCCAGTCACTGAGGCAAGTAATGACTCCTCCATTGAGGAGAATGGTGGCGCAGCGTCGAGTTAGGAGTCTTAGAGGATGCTTAAAGAGGTTCATTTCATTGTTTACATTTATTGTTTGTCACTCTAAAGATACTTTTTTGTCAATTTTTCAATTAATTCCATACCTAAAAATATGCGTTTCCGATTATTTAGAACCGACCACACACGAATCCTGCGAAAGCAGCTATTGTCCAGTTTGTTGCTGGTAGTTTCGCGATGGAACTGGTTTAAAGTGCCGCAATTGTGAAGAATTTTATTTTTTTAAACTTTATTTGAATGATGAACTGGTTTTAAGTGCCGCGATTGTGAAGAATTTTATTTTATAAACTTTATTTGATTGATAATCTGCCGTTTTAATATCTTTAACGTTTCGAAAATATTAAACGGCTCCAAACCACAGAGATTTTCACAAATCATGCGAAAACCGCTGATGTCCAAAGTCCTTTCTTTGCGATTATTCCGTCCCAAACAGAAGATGAGCTGGATACTGTTAAGGATCCTTTTCTGCAATATACTCCGGGAGTAGGTAATCATTTTTTCAACATGTTTAAATCCCGCATTTAAAAGGCTTCTACAGTTTTTTGCAGTTCTCTCAAAATTAGAAAAATGGACATAAGCGGTTTCCGCACGAGCCGATTCCAATAATAAGCGATTCTCTCGTCGGTTGTCTTCGCGAAGCTCATCCAGGATCCGCTTCAGCGTTCGATACGTTGAGTCATGACACTGGTGCGTCATCAACCGGAGATAAAATAAGACGAAGAAAAATTGGCTCTCCGCAGGAAACCAAAATAATTTGATGTACAGATGCAGATGAATTTAGTGTAAGTTACGGAGATGTACCGACTAAAAACACTTCGAAATGTACATGGATTCTTAGGGGAACAATTGGTCGCAGAAATGAAGTGATCGCCCCGGTCTCCCACTGAGTAAAAGGATGTCGCCGAAGAAGATGACACGATCACAGACAAGATATTAACATTACTTTGATTCATTTTTTTTGTTTCATGATAATAAACAGATTCCCCGAACAAGATAAAGTGTGCACAATCTTTAAAGAAATCACAGGACCGAGGGCGAACACACAAGTGTGTACGGCGCATGCGTAACACTCTGTGTTCCAGGACGAAGCAGGAAAGAATTTCCTTCAATATTTATCTAAAGTATGTCCCCCAAATCCACCCGCCCCATCTGAGGGTGGACGTCCCAGATGATGAAATGCAGGTCGTCACCTTCCAGGCAAAGTATCACAAGCGCCATGCGACGTTTAAAAATTTCCGCCACCATTATATTTTTTTACAGAGAAATTGTTCAACGAAGCTGTCCGAAAATTACACCGAATTTTCTTTGTGCTGCCGATAAAATTTAGTGAAATTTTCGAACAGATTCAACCAACAATTTCTCAGTAAAAAAATAAAATGGTGGCGGAAATTTTTAAACGTCGCATGGCGCTTGTGATACTTTGCCTGGAAGGTGACGAGGTGACCTTCATCTCGAAAACTCATAGACTAACATCCATACAAAAAGCGGCGGTACACAGAAGGTAATGACTGTTCCTGTTCACAGGCCTCGCGCCAAGAACATCGGAGTGATCTGTGTCCGCGACAGATATTCTTCGCAGGCGGTCGCCTTGCGAATGCCGTACTTCCCGTGAAGTTGCCGAATTGGTTCCCACTTTCGAAGCCTATTTTGGCTCCTGTTTCCGGATTAGTTCCCATCTTTAGGATCTTAATTTAATATTTCTTATTAAAAATTGCAACACAGCTCACTCAAGTGCTAGCATTTACTTTCCGTTGTGACAGGCTTCAGGCTGTCTGCTAAAATAATAAGCATGATTAAAAATGTTGCGAATATGAAAATATTAGTGATTTAAAAATGGTCCAGGTTTCCAAAACTTTCTGGAGAGGAGAGGATCGATCAGAAAGGAGAGGAATGATCAGCGAGGTGAGGAATCTTCACCTGTCCCGGCCGACTGGACAGGACTTTATAAGGGAGGGTAGGCCGTGGAATCCCTAACAACTGGACAACTGAATTTAACATTGAGACAACCCAAATCAGAAAATCAAAATCAATAGAATGAAAAATACAGAGATAAAAGAAAAGCTAAGTTCGTAAAATGCTGAAATATATCCTAAAAAGTTAGGAAAAAGCTTCTTAAAAGATTGCACGAGCACGCAATTCAAAACAATTCTTTTCAGAAAACCTGAACGCTCGTGATTTTAAATACATTTTTTGGCCGCAGTTTCTAGAAATTCCCTTTTTTGCTTTTACAGTTTAGAAAAGGTCATCAGTTATTGAGGTATTCTTCTATTAGTCTGTGATGGGTGTTACGTCGGTTCACCCCTTCTCGTCCAAGTCTCTGATGACTGGCGGTCGCTGCTTCGTGGCACCTCTACATCGTTCCTTAACTGGGTCGCGCCGCTGATCAGTGCCTTCCCGTCTTAACTTCCCCCAAACTTTGAAATTGACAAAATGCCAAGCCACCCTCAGCCACGAGTACGTCTCGAGGAGGGTCCTTGAGGCATCCCTTGAGGAGTCCTTGAGGCAAATAAAAAGGCTAATGTTGCAGAAAGCCTATTATGACATTAGTGAATTTCTTAGTACCTAGACACTTGATAAAGTAATGTGAATATACATTGTTTATAAGTTTGTTATACTGTGTAATTGACCTGTACAAAAGCTCTACCAGGAGCTTACATTTCTGTACCAAAGATCAAATAAATAAATAAATCCCAAGCAATCGCTTTCATCAATTGATCACTATCCAGAGTGTCTACTAAAACAGGCTACCAAAATCAGTACCTTTTCAGTACATTACCAAAAAATTCAGTGCCTCCTCAACAGGAAAATTCAGTACTTCGTCGGTATCCCCATTTGACGAAATTCGAAAAATACCAAAAATTCGGAATTCTCTCTCCACTTGCAACAAAAATGACGTAGCCACAAAATTTCATTGGTGGCTTGAAAATTAATGGATTGCTCAGTCGCAATCCTGTAGGCAAATACTGCAATAAGAATCAACGCGTAGGGTATTGCATACTTTCCAGGCTATGTTAAAAAAACACGCGTCTGATGAAGTCAAAAATTCCGGACCTTTCTTGCGGAATTTCCGCACTTTTCCGGTACTTCCGGACGGCCCTTAAATAATCAGTGCTATTTCCGGACTGGTAGACACCCCGTTACCAGGGCCTCGGGCGCGAACCTTGATGACCCGAAACGGCACTTCATAAATTTTGAGAGGTCTTAAAAGGTCAGGTAATCCCTCTCCCACCGATTCGGTTGAAATAGCTTGTTGGTTTAGATCGTTGCTCCCAAGGCTCCAGAGGCAAGAAGGGCAGGGCGGAAAAGAAGGTAAAGCCATGAGTGTCCTTTAAAAAAGAGACCTCGGCTTCGAAGTCCGAGGGAAAACGGAGTTTTTATTTAGTTTTGGTTTAGCACCCTCAAACATGAAGATCACCTGATCTTACACATAACATTAAAATGTACGCCAAGCTTTTCTTGGGAGCCAAATTCTGAGCAGATTTGGATGCAATCACTTCAATGGTGGAGTTGTTTTCCAAAGTTTACAACTTGGAGTAGGAGAAAAAGGTTAAAAAAATCATGAGATCTACTTTTAGTTGAAACTTTAAAATGGAGAGAGGCTGGTTGGCGAAGCAGTATTAGAAAAATTAATAGTTGCGAAAAAACTTAAAACAACAGTTTATTTATAGACACAAATGAAAAACTTAAAACAAGATTTTATGTATGGACTGTAAGGAAAAAAGTCTTTGCAGTTAAGTTCACGATGATAAAGCCATTTTCATCGAAAACTTGGAAGTATTTATTCCTTCATTGAAAAATTAAGTTCTAAGAGGCTACAACTTAAAATACTGTCCACTTTTAAGGAAAGTCTTTAATATAGCACCATAATTTTGTGACATCATGAAGACTAGGAACTTAAAAACTGGTTAGATCAAAGAAAAATAAAAATTAGTGCACAAAACGTAATGCACCAAAAAATGTTTGGCATGCCTACAATAAAAAGGTAGAAAATACTCCAGTATACCTCATTAATTAAAATAATTAATTATGAATTAATATAATCCATTTTCACACATGTCACTTACTGAAGGTAAGTTGAACGTTTCAGCTTGAGGCAAGATCAACTTTTTCTGCAGAGTAGCACAGGGTAACCAGAAAAAGAAAGATGGACTTTATCATTTTAAATCTGATCATTTACCATAATAAACATGACACACAACTTAAAGGTGATCTATTAAAAAAAGGTTTGACAAATTTTTAAATCTTCCTCACGCCTCCCATAGATGATAAGTGAATTTTGTAAAACATATTCTAGCAAAATATCAGTGGAAACTCATTCGAGAGATATCAGATTTGACTGAAAGTTAGCAACAAAAATTATACCTGCTCATGCAGGGTGTATACTGGTACCCTGTCATTCAAATTCCTTGCAAATGCATCAATACATTGATGTTCCCGCAACTCTAAACTCACCGTTATTAGGAATGAACAGACGTTGCAGCTCACAATTCACTCGATAGTAAGAAAAATGTTTGGGATCAAAATTTGGGTCATCCTTCATGCATGCTTCGCAATATTTGAAACGATCAAGGGTATCAATTTTCATTAAAAATAAAAAGGTCACAAAAAACAGAATTTAAATTTATGAAAATTGAGAGAATACAGGAAAATAATACAAGTCAGTTAAGGGAGTAACTGAATTTCGCATGACTTTACCTGGGTTTCTTTCCATTCTTTATATCCTTCAATCATTGATATAATGAGGTTTCCTACCTATTCTAAACTAAACTCTTGAGAGCTGTTCTGCTCAAAACCAGCGATCATCCTTCTTATTTTTCCTCCTGAAACAAGAAAGAGGTGAAGTTTATCAACCAAAAAATCTAATTGTCAAGTGTTCAAAATGAGCGCATAGTTCACCTGAGTCAAGCTGAGGACATGATTTGATCACGGCCATCATTCCTAATTCAAATCATTAAAACAATTTAGAGCTTTGACAAAATTTAGTGGAAAGAATTACTAATCTCATCTGCAATGACTTCAAATCAGGTACACTATTTGCTCAGACATCTACTGAAACTGCTATAAGGGCAGGTAAATTAAGAGAAAGGTTTTTTTAGAAAATGGTTTACATTTCTATTATTAAAAGAACAACTACTTTTCCTAATAAAAATGAAAGAGGAGCAGAGTAAAGAACTGACGAGTCATTTCATCTCATAACTTTTGCTATCTTAATTTTTCTACCATTTATCACTCTCCTTGAGGTTCATTGAAGGTGTGTCATTAGAGGTCTCTATTTACATCAGTTTCTTATAAAGTCCACAAAGGCTGACTGTCGAATCATTAAACTCAGCTTTCATAAAGAATTTAATTACCTATTTCTACGTTCATTTATTTACTTTTAATATTTTGCATACCTGATGATCTTCAACTACAAGCCTCCAGAAGGTGCTTCGAAGTGTGATTGGTTTCCGATCAATTGCTTACCAGAGGTAATTTAGAGGTGAGCCAGATCTTTGTAAAAATGGGGTACTTCGCACAAACTTGAAAAAAAAAAAAAAATTAAAGCAAAATTAATATAGCAGCAAAAAATGCATATTAGAAATTACAGACTTAAGTTCAGAGGATACCAATGGAACAAAAAGTAGCAAAATTGGAAAGGCGTCAGTCAATTTAAAGGAGGGATCACTTTTGGTTCAAAATGGTAGATATGAACAAGTCTTGCCACAAAACACGAGTTTCACGAAGCAGTGAGGTTTTTCAATAAGCATGTGCACAAAGTCAGCTTGTTCCCTCAAGATTAAAAAATGGCAGGCACATGACTGTTGACGGCCATGACACACTTTTCCTTTAATTACAGAGCACAGATATTTTGACTGATGTATAATTAATGATAAAGAGGAAATACATTTAATTTCGTGGTGTTTCAGCATTAGATTGGTAGGAATTATTCTGATCTATTTAATTAGAGAAAATCAATAAAATATAATCAGGATTATTTTGTACTTACAGAATTAGTAAATTTGCTAGCATGATCCATCCGACAGAGTCTTGGCCCATTACCTGCTGATGGACAATTACTGCTCTACTATGCAATCATCACATCATCTTTCATCAAGGTTTCCTGAAATACCAACAAGTAAATTATAAAAAAAATGGACATATAACTTCCTTAAGAGGCTGAAAGACTGAAAGAAAATTCTAATTTTTTTTTTTTTTTTTTTTTTTTTTTTTTTTCATATTTTCTTTTCAAGGATAATAAAAATTTGTCAAAACAGTCACAGTATAAAGTACTTTTTGAAACTAAATCTGGTGTACTATCTTTTTTGGGAAAGACTGAAGGGGTGGATTGCCATTTACAGAGGACCTCACTAATCTGTTAATATCATTCTTAACACAAGAGGTTAAAAAACTAAATACAAATGGCATCTCATCATCATTAGAGAACATGTCGATTCTTAGGGCACATGTAAACAATTTGAGAAACAGTTTAACTGACAAATACAACTGAGCGGCCTTGAGTGCTATGACAAGCAGTATGAAAAATGACACGCACGGAGAAGCAAAATACTGCTATTGTATTTTATTGAATGAATACAAGTTATAGGGCTGAAATTTGGAGTATGAGGCAGGATATTAATATTGTTGATCAAAGATTTAACATAATGCTTCCGGTATGTTAGTAAATATAAAAATACTGATCCCCATTCTTGTCAAGAAGTGTTGAAGTAATGCCTACCTAGGATATTTTAGACATGTTGTTATTTAAAATTCATGATTAGATTAATAATTAAGAAATTTATCACTTAAAGAAGGCAACTTTGCTTCCAAGATTATTGTTGTTAGATTGGAATGGAGAATTTGCACACAAACATTTTATTGCTTCATCTGAGAGTGCTTAATGAGCTGAGTTCGCAGAATTTTTCATAATTCTTTTCTTACATGGGAAATATGAGAAAAATAAATTTAGAAGTGAGAAAATGAGCCGTCTTATGACGTCATCTGGCGGCATTTTCTATATAAACACATGTATCTTAGCAAATTAGGTTATTTTGCCATATTTTGTCAAATAATTGTTCAATTGAGAAACCAAGAATATTCTCGTACTTATTTTTCCTAGGAGTATCATTTTCAAGATGAAATTCACAAAATTTCAGACATCTGCGAATTCTCTATGGGTCTTATCATTATATATGACTGGCCATGTCTGCATTCTGTCTGGTCGAAAGTTGGGAAATTCGTCTGTAAGGCATAATTCAAGCAAGATGGAGAGAAAAATATGGAAACTTATTTTCGTACATGAACCAAGAGAATTTTGAAATTTCTTAGTTCTTGATAGTTGGGGCAGTAATTCAGTTTTCAAATTGCAAACAGATTTTGAGACAGGATTCTTTTCAAGAATCAATAAATGGCTGTGCTAGGTTATCTGCTGTCAGATAGCCAAATTCTTCACCGATTGAGTTTCAACGCAAGGGTACAGATGGAAAAGTCAAACAAAAATTATTAAAATCAAAATTGGAGTACTCAATTGAGAATTAATTATTGATTATATGAGTTTAAATTTTGTAAGATTTAGAAACTCTCTTACTAATCAAAAAATTTCATCAAACTGTATTGATTAACCAGCTGTGTTGATTGTATACTGATTAACCAACACCCATATGATATCGTTGAGGTTGATCAATAGACATAGGTGCCACACCATCAAACATTAAGGGACATTAAATTTGTTGAGAATAATCACCGGTGACACTGACTTCAAAATGACTGAGTAAATTAATATGGAATCTTCATTGGAAACATCAACCTAGGTATTATTTACCATCTTGTGTTAGTTGGTTTGTTGGTGGAGAATTTTCTAGGTCTTCAGAGAAAAATGCACGAGATAGTTCGGAAAATAATCAAAGTGCAGACAATGCTGACAAAATAATAGTGAACTGGACAAACTTGCTGTCTCATCATTTGTTGAAATACTTAATATACACATCATGATAAAATAATACAGAATATTGGTACCTACCTACTGACTGTTACTGACACATGCAATTTTCTTGCATTTTCCATTATTTCCCAAAATTGTAAATGCACTTGATCAGATGAGGCAGGATCTTTCAAGGTAAAACTGTTGCTTTCAAATTCAGTTTAGCACAGTTTTCCATAGGACTCAAGAACAGCCTTAATGTTGTTGAATTTCACTTTCTTACATATTATCACAAACGAGTTGATTGCTCCAGGGCCCAAGAATAGACCTAGTAAGGTTGATTTTGACTTCCTTAAAAATTATCAAACATGAATGTTGCTGCCCTTGCGATTTATCCTGAAGATTGCCTTGTGTAAATGGTTCCTATGATCAGCCTATTATTAACTCGACTTCTTGGAGTTGAGAAAAATATTGTTATTAAAAAATTTGAGCTTACTTTTACATTCTGTTTGTAAGATTGATACTCTCTCATTTGAAATTCTAAGCTTTGAGGACGTATTTGAACTCTGAACATACGAGTATCAATAACATAAATTTTGATGACTGAGGCCTTCTTCTAGCTTAGCAGCATGAGACTAACTGTATGCAAGGTGACAGAAAAGACATACATCATTATAAGCTTTGTCAAAGAAAAGATTGCTCTTTCCGAAGTTAATGATGGGGGGACGAAAACAACTTTTTATTCTGACATGCTGAAACACTGCTGTACCATTTGAAGCGTCATTTTTTGGCCACTGCCTTGACTAATGACTCTGCTCAATTCTTACAGTTATGCTGAAAAGTAGGTAGTATTTACTTCCAAGCATCAATAAAATCCATATGATGAACCTAGTTGAAGTTCAATATTAAATCTAATCACAACAATTTGACTTAACTTTGATGACAGAGCTACTCAAAGGCTGGCCTTTGGCAAAGGTGACTTTGGGCTAGTAAGCGAGGTGATAAAAAAAAATGAAAAACTTCAATTTAGGTTACATCTATTCATCTTTATTGTTCATCTTCATAAAATTGCATGTGGCTGACTTTAGAATGATAGATAAATAAAAAATGCATCACATAAATATATAACTAACTAGAAATGTCTTAGAGGATGCTCTGACATAGAAACTTTCCGACCGATGATGAATTAAAAAGCACAAGAAAATTTCTATGTATTTGATCTCCACTCTAATTCTTCATCCTTGAGGTAAAATATGACAGAATTATATTTGGTTTCTACTCTGCACCATTGATTTCTTTTTTTTCTTCTTTTTTAAAAAAAAAGTCTGTACCTTCGTTCAGAGCCAAAGAAAGTATGCACTGTTATTTATGTAAAGCAATTGCTGCTACAAATTCAACTAATGATCATGTCAACTTGACCGAGGTAAACCAAAATTGTCAGAAACTTAAGAGAAATGCATGTGCACTAATAGGTTAGCTGTTGCTCAGCTATGATTTGGAAACCTATGTTACTATTACGAACCATTAACCAGAGGGAAAAGAATAAAAATGATAATTTAAAAAAAAAAAATAGTAAAAAACTAATTCATCATATGTACAAATAGACATTGAAATGTATCTTAACTAAGCAGGAAAAATTATACTGAATTCAGAGCATTTCCTAAAAATTCGTGTCTCAAATTGAAAAAATGGAAAATTTGTTACATCTAATAGGAGATCTGCAGTTGATAAAAATTTAACTTTAGAGGAGAGTGAGGAATATCTTTGAGGAGCGTAATAATCTAGAGATTATCTTTAACATATGCCTGCCAGATATTGATGTTAACTTGAAATTCCATTACTCGTCAAGACTTCACAATAAATCCACCCATCTGTAACATTCTGTATAAATAACACAACACATCTTTAGTTAGCTGATCGACCTCTATCATCGATTGAGTTCAAGTTAATATTATGCTTAAAAATTACATAGTAACGTAATAACGAGACCTTGTGACTGCACTCTGGCAATTCAGCTCATAATAAGAGAGAGCAATTTTCATACCTACTCACCATTCAAGAATCAAGGCAAGTTCGTGCTCTTACATGAAAAGCTGAAGTTTCAGCAACACACTATTACTGGATAATCTTTCGAAAAATATATTTAAAATAACTTTTTCAGTATAGAATGAACTAAAGTTTTAAATTAATTTTTTTTTTTTGAATTCAAACGGGGGTAGTGCCTGTAAACTCTACAGTGAAATTATTTTTTACTTTATTTTCTTAAACAAGAATAATTATTCTTCAATAGAAAACTAAATACTGAGTATTCGGAGAAAACCGACGTGAGTACTCTTTAGAAAAACACCAGTGGGTAATATTGTTCGGTGCAGGTGGAAAAAGTTGAGAAATATCTTGTGTGATATTCCTGGTTATCTTTAGAGCAACATGTCCTTTCTTTTCAGCAGTGCTTCTTTGACCAGCTAGAGCACAAGAATTTATTGAGACGAGCTAGATACATTATTGCTGCTCCAGGCTGTGAGCAATGAGTTCAAAGGGTCGTTTTCTCCTGATACTATGAACTATTGTTTGTGCATTTGTGGCGCTGTTTCAATAAATGACCCCATTCATTTTTCTTTGGCCATCAGTGACTTCGCAATACTTTGCAAGGTAATTTCGGCTTTCAAAATAATTAATTTCATCCATTTTTCTTTCATTTTTTCATTTGATATGTGAGCCACATTTACATGGCTATAATACAGGTAACAACCTAAATTCACTAAACTTGAAAGCAGAATTTTATCAATCAAGGTTTTCCCTTAAATTTCTTTCAATTGAAATTTATTTTAAAAATTAGGTGCCCTTGAAAAAATTCCAATTAATTCATAGGAGCCACTCAATTTCTTTAATTTGTCAATATTCTAGACTCAATTTCGTTCATAGCTTTGCCCTAAACTTAGTTCAAAAACCAGCTACCTGCAGTTACATAAAGCAAAATTTGAGTTTAACTTTCGATTTGAAAGTCTGCCTTGTCAAGCTGAGGATTAATGCTTCAGGTATTTATAGGGATCAGATCTCATAATCGTCGTTTCATACTGTTCTACCAGTCAAAATAGTCATCCAAGAATAAGCACTGAATTAGAATCGATCACTTCTTCAAATTATAAAAAGTTTATTAACCTGCATAAATAGTTATTCCATTTGGGGAAAAAATGCATTCTCCTTTGCAGACGCATGTGCATGATCAGTCGAATCACTCTGAATTAACATATTCATAAAGCACCATCAAAATTGGTGCGCTATTGACACATTAACTGAATCTAGTGTCTACCAAGTTCGGAGGGACAAATTTAAGATCTTCTGACTCTTTTCTAATATTTGATCAAAATGGCTAGATTAGTCAAGGCACTAATCAGAACTGAATGATCATTTGTCATTCAAACTGCGTGGTTGCCGCTTGCCTAATTATAAGAAAATCAATGGGCCATGTCAAGACTTCTTAAGAACGAATTTACCTATTAAATAAACACGTGGGAAGATAACTGTTTGCCTACTTCAGAGACAAAAAAACCTTGTAACACCAGAGGTGGATCATTGGCTCTCCGTAAATTTTGATGAAATTTAAAGACTTTAACATGAAGTTCATTGAAGGCCCATAGCCAAAGAATTAAGACGATTCGTTCAGTAGGGACCAACAGATACACAATTGAACAAGCCGACTGATCTCTAACATACTACAGCACAGCTGAGTGGTTACACACCCTCCCAACTATCAGTTTAGTTTAATAATCTCTCAAGATCGGGGGAACTCTAACATTCCTCAGAGGATAAATTGATTAATGCTAGAGAGATGTTATTCCAGAGAGTTCTCATCCACAACATATGGATGTTCAATCAACTTGTTTGTTGTTACACCAAATTTTTATTCCAATTAATTTTTGTGATCTTTGATAAGTCCATGGCATTTATCTATGTCTAAAGAAATACTTCTTAACTGAAATTTCGCTTCTTAGCTGTCCTGCCTATTTTCTTACTATGAGTGCAGAAAAGAAAAGAAAATAAATGACCTCCATGATTTGAATACATATTTCAAAGTTGATTGCATCATGAATTCAAGGTTATGCTCACAGACAACCATTGAGGTTTTGACAAAATGTTTCTAATGCTGCATTGCTGGGCAATTTACTTTATTCGTCAAGTATGTGTTGATGGGTTTGAAGTTTTTATAAAATGGAAAAGTAGATTATAGGATTAAAAAGAGGTCAAAGCCCACATAATTAAAAAAAAATTATAGTGTACGCCCATGACTTCACAAGAATTATTCCTTCAAAATGGCTTATTCCTTCCAAGGCATTCCAAAGTATTGATGAAAAAGCATGATTTAAAAAAAAAATACTTAATAAATGAGTGAAAAATAGAATGGTGAATAAGATAAATGTCACAAAATTGAAAAAACATTACCCCCCCCCCCCCCATTAGACTAGTGCATCTCTGCAATAAGCAGTATTTGATGTGGGTAATGGGATCCATTAGTTATGATGGATTGTTTTAAAGAAAAATCCATTATTAATTTAAGCAGCAAGTCCGGAGTAAGTCCTACCGTTGCCTACGAGAATGAAGAGGCCGTAACTACAATTCTGTGACGTCACACTAGTAGATGAAACTCGGCCGCGGTTTAACCCGCGTTCTTATGGGAGAACGCTTGCCGCGCGATGATTTCTCGCCGTTACCTTTATCAGGGTTGATTTGACGCAAAATTTCATAAGAATCTTTTCGAAAGTGGATGAAATTTCACTTGAGAAAACCAACTAACCCATTTGTGACATTGTCTAAAAATCGAGGAAATGAAAGCGTAATACCGAAAATCGTTACTCCACTCAGATTCAAACGGGCTGCTTGCGCAACTTCGGCCAATCGAGGACCACTCTGATTGGTCCACGCAGCAACTGCTTCACTCATCGATGCACCGATGACCCGGAGATGCTTGTTGTTTTCGGTAAATATCTACTAACAAGACGTCACAAAACTGACTAGTTACGGCCTCTCCATTCTCGTAGGCAACGGCAAACCAGAGATACATGGGGAGGGGAAATTTAAGTCCCTTCAAAATTTTCAGCAAGAGAAAAAAACCTGAGCGTTGCATGAACAAGAAGTAAAAATAGATGAAGAGATAAACGAAAACTTACAGTTAAAGGAGCATCCTTCTTTCACTCCATTTTCTTGTAATGTGCAAATTGGGTATTTACAGATAACCATATCCATCAGAGTATTCTGTAAAAAAGGGAGGAATAAATCATCAAAAATGAGTTGGTGGTCAGCTATTAATGTTACATGAAGCACAAATGAAATATGGTAAGCCTGTGAAAATGAATTAAATTTTAAGCATTTCACAAAATTGAATTCAGATTTTTTATCTACATTTCAGCAATCAAACAGAATCAGCCAGAAATCCACCAACAAGCTTTTTAAAGTTTAGAACATCAAGGAGTTTTCCTTCTCTTTTGTGAAAATGTGACTTGCATGCTCAGCTCTCTCATTTTAGTTTTGAGCTAAAGTCTCAGTGGGCTGATTGGGTAAAAAAAGAAGGACACCCCCCTTCACCTCTTTCAGCAAAGCAGTGCACAGCACTGCTCACTCTTACTCCCAAGTTTGGCAAGAGAAAAAGGAGAAAAAGCCCTGATATTGCAGATGAGCTTAAAGTTTTTAATGTTGGAAATTTTTACAAGATACATGTAACAAGTCGCATCTCTTTCTAATTGATCCAGCTAATGTGAAGGATTAGATTTGCAGACAATAATAAAATATTATGAAGAAGAGCCGCGCCCCCTCCCTCCCCCATCAATGGGAGTAGGGATGTCTCATCCATTTTTCATATGGTATGGAATCGGTTCCATTAATAGTAGTAACAATATCAACTTCAATGCTGGAAGAAATGAGCTATTGTCATTTTAACCAGTTTCATGGGCGAAGCAGATCCAAAAGACAGAGACACACGGGACAAAAATGCTTTGACTCGACTTAGTTTCGATACAGCTACTCATTTCTGACAAGAGCAGCCTTCTCATGGCGTATCCTTAATTTGTTACAACACCCCTACATGGGAGGGGGATTGATCTCATTTGAAATTGATAAAAAATACATAGAAAATTGTTGAGCAGGAGTGAGGTGGGAAAAAATAGAGTTTTCAGCACCTCTGTTGCAAGACAAATGGTAATGGCAACTTCATATGTATATGTATTTGGACACCTATCCAAATGTGCAATATAAGTGAGCTACAGTTAATAAGAAAAAAATATGGTTGAACCTAAAAATTTTTCAATTCTAGCAACATCATACACATATGGACAAACATCAAACAAACTGATTCATCACTGAATTTACCGACAGCCTTCAATGCAACTAATAACGGCATTCCATACGAGACTTAAGGTTTCCATGGATTCTTCTCATGAGGAGTAATCTACTCATGTACACTAGAGAGATAAGTAGGAGCTAAATAGTAAGATAAACTAGGAAAGGTTAACTATTGCTGCCGAACTCCGTAAGCTGTAATACTTAACAGCGGGAGAAAAGGGAACGACAGAGGTGCAGCACAGTCAGGGCTAACTCCTGAGGAAGTGTTGTTTTCAGTTTTAGGACAAATAATTGATACTTTCAAGTACATACATTCAAGCAATCCCTGAAAAAAAAATTGGAGACTTGCGCATCTAAGATCTCTGATAGTTGAATGGGAATGCAATATGCAAAGAATTTTTGTAGGGTTACATGTAAATTTTTGTGAAGAAACCTGAGAGTTTACTAAACAATTAAAAAAATCGTTTGAGGGGAGAAAAAGCTAATCAAAATCCTTTGGAAAAAACATTGAAGGTCAGAAATGGAATGGAGATACGAAAATTTCACGTTACATTTGGGTGATGCATACAACTGCGGTTGCCAATTTTCTGGAGTAGAACGCACAGAGATTACCATTCATTTTTCAATTATAGATACTTAAACTCCAAGTCAAGAAAAGACTTGCATGAAGTATACTTTCAATTTTGCGATCATAAAATATTTTTCTTCTCACATAGCACTGATTAGAGAGATCTGGAACGTTCATTTGCTTTCAATTGTGTATTTAAATCTTTTCAACTGGAAGAAATTGGTATTAAACTTAAGAGATTAGTTAACTCCAGCGCTTTTAATAGATAGAGATCCTTTCATTAAAACTAGTCTAGCTTCCATTTTATAATTAACTTTTCCAACTTTTGAGTTTCATATGGTTCTTCAAGCAAGTTAAACAAAGAGATGTAGGTACGTTGACAATATTTTATAGTTACAGAGCTTCATTTGCTCTGAATAATGCAAAATCAATACAACTAATCCAATTGCTCAGTTTCATTGAAAGGACATTTGTTCTCGTGCGCCTGAAGAGCTAAATAATGTTCCTCATTGAATAGATTTCTATTATTCTCACACAACAAAGAAAAGACTTAGGAATACTGCCTCCAGCTTACATTTCTTGGTAATAAGGGAGAATAATTTGTTTCAAACAACCTCCCAAGATCTTGACCTATTGAAAGTATTGAAAAGCAACCAACTTGTAACAGAATCATTCGTCCCAACACAAAAGCAGGTTTGCTTCATTCAAATTACTTGTTCGAATCAAGGTATTTTAAAATGATCTCTTTGGGCACTGGCACACATCAAAATTACAAATTCTTAGAATCTGAAGATGTAAATTTTTGCGAAGAGTCTCTACTAAAAATAAAATCATTTTTTCATTACGGATAGTAGAACAATGAGCCCGAATAATATTACAATGAAGACAAATTTAGTCAAATCAGCAATTTGAAGGAAAGTCAACAGATTTCGACTTATTTCACCAAGATCATGAAAATGGAATCCTTCGGTGTCATTCATTAAGAACACAAAAGAATTTTAGATTAAGTACAGCTCATGCTGATGTAGACTAAGAAATGTGGGTCTTTCAAGATTTGAGTCTTCCAGGAAATGGAGGCTATTAGAATTAGAAACTAATGACGACATACTTAATTTGAAGCAGAATTGAGTTAATAATCAGCTAAAGATTTCAATTAACAAATAAAGAAGGTAAATAAGAAAGAAAGAAAGCAAGATCAAATTACATCCTGTTCAGCTGCCAATCCTTTCTTTGTAGAACAAGAGTTAAAACTGTCCGTGGGAAAAGGAACTTTGGTGCACATAGCTCAATTTTAAAACAGACTGATTAAAGTCGAAATTGGTTGGTAAACCTGAATTGGAGTTTTCAATGGATCTTTCTCTCGAGGATCCTAAAAAATAATTTGTGAGGAAGTCAGTTCAATTAAGCATTATCAGCGGGGATAAAGTTTCTCTATAATTTTTTTGTGCACCCATCATGGAGGATTAACGCTCGAAAAATGTTCTTCTCAAAACGATTATTTGATCTACTAAATTCTAACCACCATTTTCACGGTTTGGTTTGACATTTTTAATACCACAATATTCCTACGATTAGTGACATTTTTCAACTCCAAGGATTCGAACACTGAGGTCTTTGTTCCTGTGAAGGGTCTCAGTTGTCAAACTTAATTTCGAATTTTTCCCTGTGGTAAAGATTATTTGGAATCCATCACCAGAATGGAAACTGTCTTGATAGTTGAGCCTACACTCAACATACTGAAAATGTTTGAATTAAGAGGTACACTGTATTTTTTTGAAAAAAACCTGACAGCAAAATAATCTGATTTTAGGAAGTTATCATTAATGAACATGGTTAAAGGAATACAATTTCTATGAGACTTAGTGCGATTCTAAGAGAGATGAAAAACATGTGTCTTCTCTTTCCTGAGCCAATGATAAAATATAATTTACATGTTTAATTTTAATCATCATTGACTACATCTAGTGATGAGGCTAATTTATCAGTCCATGACGGCAAGTACACACTTAATTAAGTTTGTAGAGAGTTGGAGGGAAATGATTCTTAGCATCATTTCCAATATTCGGAAAAAGAATCTTATATCAAATAGAATGAGTAGTAAAAAGAAGGCCTAGTTACAGCCTACTTGTGGAAAGTTTCCTGTTCTGATGAAATTAGAAATAATTTTTTGTGGGCACCCATCTACTACAGAGTCAGTTACAGTTGGAAAAGAGGATTGGCAGCATAGAGAAAGAAAAAGGTAAAAAACAAATGAGTAAAAAATGGGCTAGATTTCAACGTAGACTTACTTTGACAAGTAAATTCAACACAATCAATGGGAGTTCTCTAAGCATATTTGAATATTATGTCTAGTTACTGGTTTGCTGTGACTCCTTCGATCTGTTACAACATTACAATATTTTTTGTTAACGAAATAATATCTCTTTTAAAATCCAGGGTGATCTTTCCAGTAAATTAGGCATGAAAATCTCAAAATTAGTATAAAAATTCATAAGCTCAGATTAGTAACAAAGTTTTGTATGAATCTCTTTGAGTCTTGGTTTTTATGGATTTGCATGAAGACTTATGTTAGGAGAATTACGTTAGTGAAACTTTGACAAGAAAGAAGATGACAATTTCCTTCCGATAATTGACTAGTTTCAGATTTTTTCACAAAATTGATAAAAATGAAAAAAAGAGGGTTTGAAAAGATATGCTAATCTTTTAAGGCCTTCACAATTCTTAAAAAAACAGAAAAATCAAAGACTAGATTGCTTTAAAGAATGTATTGAACGAATTAAAGACTAGTATAAGGGGAGGAGATAAAATCTGGTCTGTCTTAATTTTGTTTGAAAACCTTTTGACCGCATACATTAGTACTCTATCATTATGTGTGCTGGTGCCTGCTCATAATTTTGTTTGAAAAACTCTATTACACATAAAATGATTTCAACTGATCAATTACAAGTGTACTTCATTGTTTATCAAAGTTAAATTTTTTACGTACCTAGTATCCATAGGAAATACATATAACTTAGTTTCAATTTGTACTGACAAATTAATAATAAAATTTTATTATTATTATTATTACAACTGAAGAGCCGTTACGGTAACTGAGCGACTGATATTTCAAATCAGTCCGACAATTTTCTCAGAATGATAATGAACAGAATCAAAACGTAGAGAACATTGAAAGGTTCTAAGTTAATTTTCATATTTTCCTTAATCTATATCAGGGGATAAATTGACATCTGAGGTAACATCATTGAGAACAAGCCTCATAACCCGCATGAAACCAAGAACAACAAACAGGGATCTTACTAGTTTTAGTTTAATATAGGATTTAAGTGCCTGAGCAGATGTCGATGATAAGAAAGGAAGAGTCTCATTTTACTATGTTAGTTTTGATAGATTCTAATACTTGTTTGAAACATTCAGGCATTCCTCGAACCCTGATACAGCTGGGCTTTCCCAATCCCTAAACCTTTGAGTTTCTGAAAGGATCAAATGAACTTCAAAGTTAAACTTTAAAAGAGAACTATGATGGAAAATAACACCTTGTACTTGGAGCTTTATATACATTTTGAAAATTATGACTTGGGCCCTGCTACAAAGACAATTTTCTAATCCTTTTAACTAAGCATCTGATTTCACAGTGCTAATCTGGACCTTAAAATACAAATGAAAATGTTGAAACAATAACCAAAACCTTTAAGATTGGTACAATGCGATCAGTTGATGTGTTGATTCCTTGTTTGATAGAAGTTTCTTGGATAAGGAAATTACAGATTACAGCCAATTTGGTAAAAGCTAACACACATGGAGAAAGAGGCCTTCTGGAATCTGATCTGACTATATATATTATACACACAAAGGTACGCTTGACCTTGCCGATTTCGTTAAAATTAAGGACGCCAATATCGTGAATAAATTGGAGGATTTGTTTCCATAAGAAGGTCAAATTTTTAATTTTCACTTGTGCTTTTAAGGGCCTACTAGTGTATAAGGAGTCTACACCGTATGGAGGCTCCCACACGACTTCCAATCCCTCAAACTTTCACAAGTTCAGAGGCAGAAGATATGGGTAGTTTTCTCATTACCTAATAGGCCTAACCTCACTTTTCCAGTAGATTCGTTCACATTCACATTCTAAGATACATTTTTATAGGGGGATATTACCTTTTACAATAGCTTTAGCAAAGAAAGAATAAGATTCATGTCAAATCATTCCTCGGCCAAAATAATTTGTTATATATTTTTAGTTGGTTTTTAGTTTAAGCTTGAAGACTATAATTAAATTAAGAGTCAGTTACATCCATTGTTGACTTCTTTTAACAGAACTGTTGAAAACATACCATGATTATTGCGATACTCATATTCTACTAAAAAATTTAAAGAGTTTCCCTTGTATCACCTTCATTACTAAAAAAAAAAGATACACTTTCTGATTTCTCAAGAAAGTCCTTGAAAATGTCCCCATTTGTCACTAGAGATGACTTGACTGATCTCTTTCACTTCAGGTTTAATACACAGAATGACAGTTCGTATGCTTATTTACTGGGTCAGAGACTTAATCAGAACTTTAGAAAAACTCACCTAATTTTTTTAACTCTTCCGTAGACCTTTCCCACCCGTATTTACAAAAATGAGCTTTAGACATTTTTCTGAAAATCTGAGATCAAATTCTTCCCTACTGATTGAAAATCTTGTTGAAAGATCAGACAATTATTTCCTTGGCAAATCCAAATAGTCAATAGTAATGATAGCAGCAAATTGATAGCCAAAATGCAAAACCAGGTATTTCTATTGCGGTGTTTCAAAATTTCTGCTCCTCCTTTTTTTTTAGGAGAAACGAGAAAAATTCATAGCTTGTGATTCATACAGAATATCTATTAGCAGAGAAGAAAAATCAAAATCCTAATAAATTACATTAACGTTTTCTGAAGAAAATAAGAGTAACAGGCAGTCTGCAATGCCTCAAACAGGGATACCAAGCTCTGCATTTGAGCCATTGTATTGTAATATTCAAAGAAAATTTCATCCCTAAATATATATATTTACAATTCATACTCATAAAATTTACACAACGAAAGAGAGATTTAAATCAAAGAAAGGAGTATACATTAATTTCAGAGGGCATTAAATAAAACAAAGCTCAGATGTAATTATTTTATGGTTTTTTTTAGACTGAGAGAAGTCACTAAAAAATCCTATCAAATTATACGAATTTGATCTTTCATTCATTTGCAAATAGAGATAAAATACAAAAACAAGAAAACTTTAAAATGTTTATAAAATCAACTAAGCACCTAAAAAAATCCAATACTTTTGGTTTATGGGGGCGATGGTAGTAAAACATTTGAATTTGAAAACAATGGACAAAATGTTAGTTAGAACTGAATTTCTGCTAGAATTCTAAAGCAGCTGGAGTTAGCATCATATCAAAAATTAAGTTAAGTCATCTTAAGATAAATTTTTGAATAATATTAATACTTTCACTCACCGTAAGACGATGAACCATTGGACGGGTACGAGGAGGATTCTATGAACAAAATATAAAAATTGGGCATAAATCTTTTATGATACAGCGAAAAATCTTCGAGGAAGGAAATGAATTAAGAACACCTGAAGTTCAGGAGTGTGGAAAATCAGGAAACTGAATACTTCATGGATTTAAGCAATAAACAGGAAGTAGGTTTTAAGCAGCAGGTCATAACATATTCTGAAGTTTTTACAGAAAGGCTGATCTTAAAGATTTGTTCAGCCCTCGAACATGGGAAAATGCTTCCTTCCAAAAAGAGAGTACTAAGTCAAAGAGGCGATATTTTGGCCACCTAACTTCCTCAATAGAAAAACATCATGGGTATGATTAACTTACAAAATAAAGAGGGGAGGGGGGGGGACAAAATTTGGTTCTAAGACGCTGTATATCAATCTGATAACACACATTCAAAGTCAAGTCTTAGGGTGAGAAATTATGTAAGACACAATTTCATATTCTCTTAAAAAAGCTACAATAAAAAAATTTAAAAAAAAAAAAAAAAAAAAAAAAAAAAAAAAAAAACGAAAACGAACAACAACAATGTTTTGAGTCACAAATAAAAGCTTTTAACTCAGAAAAAATTATGAAATCAAAATTTCGACAAGACCTGACAATTCATTTATTGCTGTAAAGGAGCTTTGCCTCATTAGTCATTATTTTGAGGAGGTAGTAACAGTAGTTGTATTCACAGGAGTACTCGGAGCTATCACATTGCTGAAATTTGATGCGTGGATAGAGTCAGTGAGATACTAGTACAATGAAGTCAAAATTCATGGAAATCAGTCAAAGAGTTTAAGTGGAACTTGAATTACTGATCAAGTCAAAGACAGAAAGCTGGTGAAAAGCTGGATGAAATACAAGGAAACAAGGATTTACAATGCCACAATGCACTATTGTGATAATTTTTGAAATAGCTACAAAGTTATGGCAACCTTGCTACTTTTAATGCTACGACATTTAACCGCGGAATAAATGCAAGAAGTGGTCACTGCCCTGTGCTCCTAAATGCTGCGTAATGCAGCAAGAGTGCTTTAGAGTGGTGCTGTCATTGGGGCCTGGAACAAGATATATGTCGCAGGCACATAGTGAAATTAGGCATTTTGTCAAATGCCTAGGCAAATAGTCAAATATTCAAACTTGGAATGAAATTCTGCTTCTTTTCCTAATTGTTGGCAAAACAATTCATTTCTCCTGAAAGAAAAAATTCTTAGTAAAAATTTGCATCGCACAAAAGTATTTTAAACCATTTTTAGCTCCCGCACAGACACTTATCTAGAAATTTTCGGCATGTTCTAAAATACAGAAATTTTAGAATTTCATCATTTAAAAATATGAGAGGCAAATAAAGAGGAAGAGACATGAAGAGTTCGTAGGTTTGATGAGTTATTTTTCCAAAAAATATTGAAAACTCGCGAGCTCCTCGCCATAAATTCGCAAAATATCATAGACTGTCAAAATTTAACTATCTGCCTGGGCATTTGATACAATGCCTAATTTCACTATTTGCCTGCGACATATACAAATATCTCGATATAGATACTATATGGGATGGATATGGGATTTAAAGAAATATTGGATGTACGAACCGTATCCAGTTGCAGCTGGAGCCGAATAACCTCTATCATCATAATTGTAACCTGATGACGCGCTGCTATATCCTCCATATACATCAGCTGAAACAACAACAACAGTGAAATTAATGACAACTTATAATAAAAACAGATCTTTCTCAATCAAGTCAAGTTATATTCCATAGCGACTTCAATTTATACAAGCAAATCAATTTTTTGGCAGAAAGACGACTAATGATTAAAAATGAATAGATGAAAAAATACAAAAGAATTGTGCAGTGGCAAAAGTACCATCAACACAGCAAGCAACGGGCAGTTTTTTGATACATCATGCCGGATTTTTCTATGCTCTGCGTCCAAAAGATTACAGATAAGAAAGGCCAGTTTTTTACTTGGCTCATAATTTTTCAAAAAAAGTTTTTCACTTCTCAAAGATTCCAAGTACACAAAATCAATCCCTTCTTCAGAATTAGAGTATTAACGAGAGTTTTCGCCAATTCCGCGGAAACAAGTGTTTTCAAACGTAAAATGAGATTGCAATGAAAAAAACTTGACAATTAGCATGAATCATAAACGGGTATAATTAAATGCTATTAATAATTGAATTAAAATAACAATTATGTGAACTCCTTGCGGCTTTCAGTGCTCCTAAATGAAATGAGCAAAATAAAAGGTGGCTTAACTAATTCAATAGAAAGAATGAAGAGCTCATTTCTGGAAGAAAATACTTAGATCTTACATGATTTACTGTAGCTTGACTGTGCGTAAGGATCAACAGGGGCAGCACCTCCTTGATGTGACTGATACCTGGAATCACCGCCAGAGATCGGCGCAGATTCGTATCCTGTGGGCACTGACTCATAACCAGAATTGTAACCTGACTGACTGTATCCTGAATTTTGACTGTATGATGCTGAGCCTCCGTAAGAACTGCTTCCGTAATTAGATTGGTAGGAGTTGCCAGAACCTCTGAAAAAAGGAGGAAAAGTGATAAAATCACAGTCACAAGAGCAGTGTCTTGAATTCATTCGAGATCCTTTGATAACATTACACGGAACCTTGGATTATATTGAATAATTTTTCTTCCACCTTTTTTTCATATTTCTGCTCCCCAGGCAGAACATACCCTTTGTGAAGACTCCAAGGGCTCTTGGGCCAGAAACGAAGGAAGATAGAATATTTATAGAATGGGTATGAAAATATGTTCTTTTGAACTCTCATTGTAGATTTTATTCACAATATTTTAGGCAGCATTTTATAGACAATTTGAGTTTACTTCATCAAATTTTATGACCACTAAGTATTAAAATGAGTTTGCCATGATGATGTCATGATGACATCATTCTCGTCACCTGACACAGCTGGCTGCCACATAAGTTCTAGTAATCCAAGGTATTCTATACTGTAGAAAATAAAACATATTTCTCTTACGATGAAACAATTTGGACAATTCAATAGCAGAGGCATTTTATCAAGAACTGTTTGAGAGTGCTATCAAAATAAAAGCAGGGGCAGAAGGCTGTCGGAGGTACAAAGGCTGTTGCACAGTGTCTACTGGTTCTTCATCCTTAAAATTCTTTGCTACTTCCAAACTTCAGCTTTACTTATATCGGACTTAGCCAAAAATTCTTTGCTTTGCTACCTTTTTTCAATACTTTTATCTTACCTTTTGCACATTTGTAACTTTGCTAGACAGCATTTTGGTCCCAGACAATAACAGATTATATGTGCGCAGAAAAAAGATCGCACCAAAATAGGAGGATTTTTAACTAGAAGGCATAAATACATGGCTGGGTTGTTGGGGGCGTAAACTTACCCATAAGGAGCTGGACTGTTGTAGGGGTCAGCAACTGGAGCCGATTCATAGCCAGAGTATTGTCTGTAATAATTCAATGAAATACTATGTATTATCAAACACAGTTCTAAGAAAATAAAAAAAATCGAAACAGAGAAACTCAGTTGGTACAGCTGAATGCTATGCGCTCCTAAGTAGAATACAAAGGGAATTTTGCACATTTGGCACACAGACATGCAAGGATCATTCCAAATTATTTTACAAATTGGGCAAAATGGACCGCGTTAAACAGAAAGAAACCAAGCTACATCAGCCATTGCCAAATTTAATCGGGCTATTTAATTTTTTACATGAAAACAGTTGTGCGGATTTTCGTGAAAATTTCAGTGAAAATTCTCCATGGTACGAAGCAAATTCCTTACAATTTTCAAAGAAATCCAAACAAACGTTCTCTCGTAAAAAATTTAATTGCCCAGTTAAACTTGGCAATGGCTGATGTGGCTTGGTTCCTTTCTGTTAAACTCGGTCCAAATACAAGTATTTTAGAGCAATGCAAAACTGCTTTCTTTGGTTCAGATTGAGTAGTGAATTACGTCACTTTTTCACATTAAGTTCGAATTTATCTAAGCATATAAAATGACTCCAAGGACAAGAAAAAAGGCTTAATAATGTTTTACTTTGGGTGATTTAAATTTTGAGTATGCAAAATAACTTGGACCACCAACTTTTTTTCTTTTATTTTCTGATTTAACTTGAAAATCACTTCTGTATTTTCATTATACTTTTTTATAAGTTTCAAATGATTCTTTATCTGCATTTGGATACAAATAATGACAATACACAAATATTAGATGGACAATGAACACAATATAAAAACAACTAAGCACTGCTGATTCTTAAGTAAAATTTCCAACCGATGAAAATTTGTACTTCCTCCTTTTTTTCAGTATATTTAGTGCACAATTCAGGAATTGAAAAAAAGAACCGCTTTAGTTACAAATAACTTCCGCTGGAGTACACATAGATAAGAGAGCAACTGCAAATCATGACGTAACAGACGTATACCTCCTTCGCCATGCATGGATAATGAAATAGGGGGACAGTTATCCACTCACTTTGTGCATTATGAACCATTCCCAATCCGTTTTATTTCTGCCTGTACCGGTGCTTATACAGTCATTCTCAGTTAAGACTGTCTCAGGCCTTAACCCAATGCAATTTTTTCGGCATCAATGAAATTTTGCTACTGACAGAGATTTCTGCAATTGTCACCACTATCCAATAATTCCACTATCACCACTAATTATCACCAATCTATCAAGATTAGTGAAAAATTTAAATTTTAATTAAACTTACGAAGGAGCCGGAGCAGGTGCACTGTAACCATTAGACGAACCCATCATTCCACTGTCATAGCGACCTCGTTTTGCAGGTCCATCATTAAGTGGAGCACCACGCTTGATGTTGCCACCTGGTCGTCCTGGTGGGCCTGAGGGAGCAGCATAGCCGCCACCGCCGCCACCCATTCCACCTCCTCGGGGTCCTCCCATCATGGGGCCAGGTCCTGGAGGCATCATGCCGCCACGACCTCCGCCCATGCCACCACGAGGGCCATCAGGGCCACCTCGGCCTCCACGACCTTCATAACAATCAAAGAAGTTGATAATTAATTAAGAACACAAATTAGAATAAATATGAGGCTGTTCATAAATTAAATAACAGGGAAGGACTAAAAAAAAGGTTATAGGAGTGTAACAATGTAAACAGTTATGGAATCTAAATGTGTTGTAAGAGTTTAGGACGAAAAATAAGTAACAAATTGAAAGCTACATTTCTATACCTGTTTGTCTGCCAGGCAACTAGAGCATGTTGAAAGAGTGGTCACTGAGAAATGCAACTGAATTAATAATGGAGACAGCAGTGGCACATACCATGCTGTAGTTCTCCCAACAGATACTTCATTATTGGTGAATTAAGGTCCCACAGGTAATGGTATATTACTCCCATGTAAAAAGAATGCAAAATACACACTCAGGTTTGTGTCTTCCATCTATTGTAAGCATTGCAAGGACTGCTGTTGGATCCCATTTCAGATGAGCTCAATTTCTTCACGTACTAATGCAAAATCTGTAAGTAACTGTTGTCTACACAGGCATATGAAAAAAGGTGAACTTTGATGAAACAAGATCTTGCAAATCATACAGTCACCATCCAACATTGAACTGGAGTTACATAATTTCACAAGATTACAAGGAACACCCTTTGAAAATCGATGATCAAGAGACAAAACCTCTTATCTCCATTAACATCACTGCAGACTTCCAGTCATATTATAATTTTCTTTAGAAAACCAGTCAACATAATTTCTTAAAAACTTCCTTGATTTTACTACTCTGTTTGCAAGATATCCTGTATAAAGTTTAAAGTACCTTGGCTAGTAAGTATGGCTTAAGTCTCTTTGCAATTTAGATGCTAGGGTTTCCATATTTGGCCATTGATAAGTTGTTCCAAACATTTGAGATATTGTAAGATATAATCCTTTCTTGATTGATTCCTTGTAGTTGTGAAATTCCAAAACTCTTCTTTGACGCAGGATAATTTTTTTTTCTTCATGGTCATCTTACATTAGGCAGCAGCTAATTAATTCGTCGGGAAAAATAATCATAGAGACAAACCTTTGAAGCCACCACCGCGGGCATCACCTCGCATTCCAAAGTCACCGCGACCTCTCATAGGTCCACCTCGGCCTCTTGGCTGGAAGCCTCCTCGGTCACCACCAGGTGGCCCACCTGAGAAGCCTCCTCTGTCCCCACCAGGTCCACCTCTGGGATGACCACCACCCATTCCTCGTTGCATTCCACCAGGTCCCATTCCTCTTTGCATACCTCTAGGAGGTAGTCCACCTCGTGGAGGGGGTGGTCGCATCATGTTGGGGCCACCACGCATCGGTCCACCTCCACTGGAAAATTAATGTTCAGGTTTAAGAACTTCAGTTTAAGGAATAATTCAGCACTGCTAGACACTTACATACTTTAAACGACAACACAATTACAGGTTCTGACTTTTTTAAGAGGCTATGCAGAAGAAATGCCAAAATTAAGACAAAAGCTACTTATTGTTAGTATACTTGGCGGAATTTTTTAACTGCTCAGTAATTGAAAATCAATGGTAGCATGGATCATCAAATTTTAGCCGAAATACAATTAAAATACATCTTAAGGCAATCGAAAATCTATCAGTCCTTAAAAATTCTGTAAAGTTATTATTGAAAACCGAGGCATTTTATAAGCCTTCATGAATACTTATGTAATTTTATTAAGTTTTATGTTTAAGTTGTATTATATTGTCTTGCAGCTGTGATTAGCTGTGTTCTCAAATTGTAATTTCGAATTTGGACTATAAATTATCAATTAATTAACTTGTGAGCCTGGAAATAAATATAGAACTGAGGATAAAAAAGAATGGTTAGTGTCGCATGAAAAAATGGGTTCATTCGACAAAAATCTATGTGCCAACAAATGGGCCAACTGATGATTGATGCATTCAGATTCATCAGACTTTTGTTCATCCTTTCATTACCACCAGTTCTAGCAAAGGAACGCTTTTCTCTTGAGATACAAAAAACAGAGGAGCTTCAAGTCAGCAAAATTAATCAGATCTAAAAACTGATAAGAAGCTAGTTAAAAAGATAGATTGAAAACGGGGAAACTTCAGCATCAAACTTACCGGCCTCCTCTTCCTTCAATACCGCCAATGGGGAAGGGTCCACCACCACGTCCTCTGCCAAGAGGGCCACCCCTGCCTGGGGGGCCACCTCTGCCTCTCATACCTCGGCCACGGTTTTCCATTTGATTGTCAAGTTACTAGAAACGGAAACACGGTATTAAAGTAAATCACTGAACACACAATAATTAAGATGCTTCCAATTTTTTGAAAGAACTGAGAAGGAAAAAACAGGGATGGCAAAGCAATTCCACAACAGCAGAATTCAACTGACTAGAGTAAAGAGAAGACTTTGAGGAAAGATAAGTGCGAAAAGATTCAAAGGCAGCAAATCTGTGCTACACGAAAATTTTGCACTGGACATAAAGACAAATTTCTTGATTTTCAGAGCAACATGACAAGAAATAAGGCAATTAGGCAGAGCATTATTTAAAACATATGAAATTGAGATTTCTATGATATATGATGAAATACAGTCTATTTGTTGACATTTACACAATTTTTGAAAACTACTAACTAGGTCTGATTAGAATAATCATCTAATAGGGGAGATAAAATTAAGAACTTTCAAAGTGGAAGACCATAAGTCACTACTGTAGGCTTAAGGCTGCTGATGTAACACTTGGATAAAAGATAATGTCAGGAAAAATAACCTGCAACAGTAATGCTGCCCAACACTATTTCAGCATAGGTCAAAATAGCTTTTAGGTAGAGGATAAGTTGAGGTGAATGCTAGGTACACTTCTCAATATATTACTGAAGAATAATGCCACTCAACCATAGGAAAATTGATGAAACATAGCTACACGATAGATCGATGCCTGTATTGCTCTGACTGGAATTACAGCATTGGATTTACGATGAGGGTTTTGCAAAAAGGCGATTAAACCTCTCAAGTATAAACTTACACTTTCAGCGTTTTCGTCAATGCATTTTTCAAAATTCTTACCAACCAGTGAAATCATTGCTTGAAGGAAGTCTGTACGCAATCGGAGATTGTACTAGAGATTTGTCAACAAACTAAGTGGCATATTACCATGACAACTAGAGAATTTCACAGCTACCTGAGAGCTCAGGTACTTCCGCATTTCCTGAACCACACCATAGAATAAGGAGACTAACGTCAACAGAAGCGAAAGCCCCCGCCATTTTCATGTCAACGAAGCATACCGAAAGGAGGCTGTTTCAATAAGTACTGTTTACGTTTGCGGATTTGGAGAGGTCGAATAATAACGGATGCATACGTTTTAAGGAATTGTAAGAGTTTTCTTTTAACTTATTTATCGTTACACCGAAGAAGTACTGTAAATTCGCTTAAAATTTAATGTTTTTATCCACTTTTATATTTGTAGGTAACCTCGAAATTGGTTTCAATCTGCGCAGAAAAATGTTAACATTGGTTCTTACGGAGCTTTCGCTTCTGTTGACGTAGTCTATTTATTCTATGACCACACTGATAGTCATTCACGATGACGGTCATGAAAAGTAACTGATAGATTTCACAGGGCACGTAATACAGGATTCACTGAAGTGATCGAAGCTTCCTACCGGAGGTGCCACTTCAAGACAAGATAACAGATCAGATGGCACGATGTGCTCTCCAAATTACATAAATAAGAGGAGGGAGTCCACCAAAATTGAGGGGCTCGTGAAGTCGGAAGAGAGTATCACAAGTGAAAAGTGGTCAAAGAAAGTGGAAGCAGGCGGAACTGCGAAATGTCTGATATGAGCTTGCGACAGCGAACATACAGCAGCATCTCGGGAGAAATAACGGAAGGCGGAGTGCTTTGCATTCGCGTAACTTGAGTAGAAACTCGTAAATTACGGGCTGTAACAATTAAATGGGATAGTTGTGGAGGGCAAAGGATGATGTTGGATAAATGACAAGGGTCCAAGCACCGGGCATCCGGGCTACCATTGACGACGGAGATAGAGGTTTAGGAGTTGGAGGTTCACTTAAAATGAGTGAACCATACAAAATAACGCATAGATTACTTACAAAGAAGATTGCAGATAAATTTATGATGAAATTCCGGTGAGATACAGATTATAGGGCCGGCAAGTTGTTAGCGGCTTCACAAACTACGGTGCATGAGCTTCCTTGATGAGCCCTTGTCGGCTTGTCTAAGATGGCCGACCCCGGTCTGGGTTTCCAATCAAAATAATAAAGGTGCCGGGTAACAACGCAATGTGATAATTGACAATTACTGGGTGAAAACCGCAGATTTTACCACTCTACGAACAGTCGGGTTGGTAAAAACTTGTGCGAATTCAAATGACACACATCGCAATATAGCCTAAAGATAAAAAAATGTACTTCCGAAAATGCGTAACTGCGCACGCAACACGCAACGTAATGGCAACACCGCGTTCTACATTTTTAGGAGTTGTCAAACTTCTGCAAAAATGGAAATACGAACCTGATTCAGATCTCTTCTCTTTTCTTTTTTACCTTTTTCAACTCACCATATCTATTTTTTACCTCCAATTTTATACAGTACAGGGGTCTAAAATCATTATTTGTGAAGGCAATTATCGGGGGCGTTGCTTCCTTGAGGAAGGCAGTGGGGGCTGGGGGCTGGGGGGG